AGACAGCAAAATACGCGAATAGCTGCACTCAAATGTCGCAGCCCAGGATTCTCCAAAATATAAGACAGCTGCGTAACCACGTGCACAATATCCGGTCAAGTGGGTGTCGTAATGTACAATAGACAACCTATCAACGATCAATATGGCTTCGTGCGCATTGCCACACGCCCATCTTCCGTTGTAGGCGACTGTTACGACGACAACTTCAATCCTGATGTGCACGGGTTATCTTCGCACTTGGCATCTTGTTGACCAAATAGACTGACCACGTCGTCGATATATCGGGTCTGCTTGATTATAGGTGTCCAGCTGACCTGTCGTGGCAGATTTCTCTGCCCAAAATAATTTACGCCTTGCCCAATCCTTTCATCATTACAGCATTCTTGAGCATTTCCTTTACCTGATTGATCTCCTTGCTAGCTCTTGCTGCAGTAATCATGTCATCCAAACAGAGATCAACGAATACAAACGTTCTTGGGAGCTCTTGACGTAAACGCATTGGTCCGCTCCGCAGCTCATGAAGCCATTCACCGCAGAGACACGATGTATTGTCTTATTTCAGGCATGTGCTGCTTGCTCCAATCCGTAAACAGCCTTGTTCAGCTGACACACGTAACCTTGAGTGTTGTTGACACCAAGTGGAACTTCCACAAAAAAGTTGTCCGTCAACACGCTGTTGAAAAAAGCGTGTCGACATCCAGCCATTCCATTTGCAAGTCGCATTTCGCGCTTACTGCGAGAATAATCCGGGACAAATTAATGTTGGCAACTGTGGAATAAGTCTAAAAAGACGCCATGTTTCTGCTAGAAACCTTGTGCGACCGGTACCGAACGATAGCGCCATTCTGATCACGATTCTTCGCAAAAACCCATAGTAATCCAATAGTGCGACTAGTATCACCTCGTGGATTCAATGTCCACGTTCGATCCTCTTCATGACAGCGAAGCTCAGTGTGCATTGCTTCACGCCACTGTTATGCATCGTCGCTTGCTATTACTTGAGCATACGTAGTCGGTAAGTCGGTGTCGTCGTTAGTGTTTCACGGCGTTAGCAAGAACGGCTTCTGCAATGAGTCCATCTTCATCAATTGTAGCACGCTTTGGAGTCGGTGGGCCATCACTGCTTTGTCTTGAATCTTCAGCTTCTGGTCCGTTCCTTAACATGAGCACCGGCTCACGTATTTCTCTTGTTCTCGACACCTCGGGTCGAAACACCAAACAATTTTCTTGACTCACTTATGACGGTGGACGGTACTCCGCTAACTCCAGTCTGTTTTCGATAGAGCGTTCAGCAGGCATTAGCTGATATACATCAACGCTTGAATATCGCTCATTTTCACATCTATAACTGGATCTTCCATAGCTTCCTTAGGGATGCCCATCATTGGCTATTTATTCGCTTGATGCTGAATCTTTACCTCGATTACTTGAACAATTGATTCTGGCTTGAGCGCTTGAGTGTCGTAGATGCGATCGACTTCACGCTCACCCAACTTCACGGATCGCGGCACTTTGACCTTGGCATTTGTCAAACAAGCGATAGCCCTTGACATTCTCCGCGTAGTCGAAAAATATACACTTAAATTTCTTCAGTTCCAAATGAGTCCTTTTTACATTATCGACATGAGCGTAACCTTACGAGCCAAACACGCGCAAGTGATCTATTTGAGGCTTCACCTTGAAAGCCAACTCGTACGGCGCGATATCGGTATGGGCTATATTAGAGGGAGCGATTAATCAGATAAACCGCCTTATTCACCGCATCCGCCTACTATTCAGTCAAAACGTCCGTGTAATGCAACATACTGCGGGATTGTCCTGTTTACACGCTCCGCCACTCCGTTCTGCTGAGAATTGCATGGAACGGAACACCGGTGGATGATTTGTTAACATATGTCAGCCATTGTCTTGTTTAAACACTCTTCTACGTTGTCGGATTGCAAACCCTTGAAATATATACACCATTTATTCTAATAAAAACCTCCTGAATTCTTATAACATGCCAGCCCACTCTTGCTCTTGATCATGAATATCGCTACATACATAAAAAAAATCATCCACAAATGTTAAAATATACTTGGCACCCTCCTTCAATGGAGTCCTCATTGGCCATATGATATTTGTGTGCACGCACTCGAGTACACGAGTCGTCTCCGTCATTAAATGTGAAGGAAATGTGGTTACTGTCTGCTTGCCCTTCAAACATCCGGCACATACTATTTGTGTCTTGCTTTACTAGTGGGATGCCTTTCGTCAGACGCTGCGTCTTGGGTGTCCCAAGCTAGCAATCCAAAGCTCCAACTGACTCTCACCCCGGAATACTCCACAGGACATGCTTATGCCTTTCCAATTCTTGTACCCGACGCAATCGCTTTATTCGTGATGACGCATGACGAATGCGAGAACTCAACATTCATGACATGCTCCGCAAGCCTGCCGACTGACAGTAATCTTCTGTTACTTCCAGATGACACATGACAAACACGAGAATTCAACACTCATGACCCGCTCCGCAAGCTTGCCGACTGACAGTAATCTTTTGTCGAGTCCTGGAATGTACAGAACTTCAATCATGCGAATAGCCTTTCTGTCCAAACCGGTCAGTTTCACCGTGCCGGCTCCTTTTACGATCAACTACTTGCCGTCTGCAATCTAAACTTCAACGCTTGCTTTAAGACACTTGTAATCGAACAAGTCCTTTCTGTGCGGGGTCATGTGGGAAGTCGCCCCACTGTCATCAACCATCCTGCTGATCTTCCTTCACCAACAGCAAACACCGCGTCGTCACTGTCGAATCGCTTCCCAGCCGAGCAATTCCGCTTCATGTGTCCAAACTTGTCACAGTTGAAGCATTTGCCCTGAGACCCACCGTTATTTCACCACCCTTTCGCCCATTATCCCTTTCGTCTTTAAATTTTCTCGAGCTTCCATTTTCGCAAAACGCTTTCTACGTGGCTTCCTTCCTCTGTCGCTTTTCTGATTCCTTGAGCAGCTTCTGCTTGACCTCGATCAGTGTTATGTCCCTCGCATTCTCCAAATCGACGAAACTAGTTTGTATTTCGACGGCAGACTACTCTAAAGTACCACCAGCTGGCGCGACTCATCTACCGGCTCCCCCGAGGTCTGGAGCCCTACCACCAGCTCCGTCGAATGACTCCCAATGTTTTGCCATGCTTGTACTCTTTTCCATCTTGAAATCGTGGAGTCGACGCGTCATCGTCACACGATTGTGGAGCGTCGAGCGATTGTAGAAATCACGGAGAGTCCCCCAAGCCTCTACGACACGCGTAGCCGACCAAATCTTGATCTGGTGTTGGATCTCGACACCCTTCGTGATGATGCCTAACGCCTCAGCATCGTGCACAAGCCAGGTCTCCGTAATATCGTTCTCATCCTGACGGCCATAACGTACCCTTTCTTGCCACGTTAAACTCCCAGTGGTAATAATTCCCACTACCAAGGAGGTCTTCGGCTCCATTGCAGACCAAGGCGAGAAGGACATAGAGCTGTTAACCTGTTGAAAAAAGAGTAAAAACTAAATTGAATATTTTCAGGTCCCTACTTCGCTAACCTGTGCTACATCTAAGCCTATCCTTCTAGAATCTTCTACAAGCAATCTTATTCACCCTAACCAAAGAACGACTCTTATCATATCCGTTATTACGTCCGTAATTAATAGTCGTAATCGACATGCTTGAACCGTCGTATAAAGTCGCGGTCACATAACCGCCGTTCAGCGGTCACAGATCTTGTTCATACACACAACTGCAACAGCACTATTTATATCCTTCCATTTAAGTGCACGTTCTTGTATACCCAACGATTTTGTGCATATCAAGCAATGAAACTTCAGTGCTTATCTTTTTGTCAACATTTTTATCAGTCTGACTGCCACCAGCACGTCACTTGGGCTTGTATTGAACTTCGATTACTATCGTAAAATGAGTACTTCAAAATTTGTATAGGTCAGACCACTTCTTTATCGGCGCTATACAGACCGATGTTCTGGGCTTCCATTGCAAATGATATAATTTGTTTGATGAAGCTTTGAGCGCACAAGACCGTACTTTATCGAAAGATAACGTTGTCAGTCGTCGAGCATTAATTATATCTACCAAAAACGCACCTGCAAACTCAAAAACACACTCTTGTTCTCAATAACGAGCACGCTAATTCATAGGCTTCATGTCGTTGTCAGATACTTGAGTACAAAATTGGTACTACCTGGTGTGACATGTTGTACCGCTCATCAGCAAACGCCATATTCGACCGAGTGTGCGTCGCGATGTACATCAAAGCGTCAACGAGCACACAAGAAAGAAAATGGAATGCTGCCATCTTGTTGCCTAATGTAATCGAGCTTCGAGCTGATCTTCGCTGGTGCTTGGACGTCCTTGTAGTCTTCACGCTGAACCACTGTCCAAGTCGTTTCATATACAGGAACGCATTAAACAATTACAGTAGACTCCCGCTTAAATACGCCAATTGATCCGGTACGATTTGTGCGCACTTAA